GCTAGCAAATTCCTTACTTCTAATTTCCAATTGTACAATTGATAACTTGTAGATGCACGCTATTGAAAGTGGCTAGTCTTGCTTACATTAAATTCATGAAGCTTTAATCAGCAATTGGCTCTTAAATGGTTCAAGATACTTGAATCAAAAAAATAGAATGATAAGCAGACCATAGAGAATCCAGAAGATCAAATAAACAAGAAAGAGGCTTAAAAGCTTCCACTCCTCAAATTAGAACCTCTTCCTTTACATTAAGCACAGATATGCTGCAATATGTTTACTTTCTTTTGAAAAGGAAATTCCAGTGTACAACCATACCCGATGAAGCACTTGCTGTGAAGGATTCAACTTTTTCATGGCTTGTTTCACCATTATTCTGGTTGATAATATTTCTTCCAATAAGCGAGGCAGCACACCCTTACGAACCTGTAATTAGAAGAAGCAAAGACCAAGCTTTTTCACTCCATTATTATTCTTCCTTGTTTTCCTAAATTAATAAATATTTTTTAAATAAAACTTAAGAATACTAATGAAAGGGAGTTCTCTCACATTGAGGGGCTTAGGCAGGAATCAGTTTTGGACACAACCATTAAAGCAGCTAGAGAAAATTACTACTTAGAGTTGAACTGGATAGCACAAACTTGATAAGCAACTACCCTAAAAGCTCATAAGAATCAGAAGAGGGATATCATCATAAACATGCAAACAAACATAAAAAAGTTAGGTGCATTAAGTTCACCATTTCTCCTGTTTCTATCTGCAAATCATGTCCATGCTCCCTACATGCAATGTTTCTAGCAACTTAGACTATCTGCCAACATCAACCAGTATCATCAACTTCGAATAACACTATTAATGTGTAATCCACTTCAGCCAAGTTGAATACAGAAGGGATGCAGTATTCGGTTAAAACTCATATGGCAGAAATGGGAAGCCATCAGAATTACCTTAGAAGGCACGTACATGACACCATTTGGAGTAAGCAGCATTTTATCTTTCAAATCCCTCAAGACATTAGGGTCTGGCATAAATGGACTAACTCCAAGTGTATTTGCCTTTGAAGGTGCAATTTGTCCCAGACAAGTACAAAAGCAAAGGTTATAAGCAATTATCATTGATGGATAAAGAGACTGGAAGTCCAAAACAACAACCGGATCTGCATAGAAGCCAGATTCTGGTTCCATCACAAGAGGCAGACACTCCATTGCAGGTTGAGAAGCAACCTAGAAATGAGAAGAAAAATAAACTGCATCAGTATATAATCACAACTTTATACCGCGCATGATATAGAGTGTGAATGGCAACTAAAAGCATGAAGCTGAAGAAGGTACTCATGCTTTCAGAGCCTCAGACAAACAAAAGACATGGACATCACTGAGCTGAAAAGGAGTGAAATGAACAGACCAAGAAACAACATACAGCCATACTAAAAAATAAATAAATAAAATAACTTAAAAAAAAAAAAAAAAAAGGGAGAGACAAGATATATTTCAGCAGACCTGTTGCTTTCCTGGGGAAATGGCAAGATAGTTTTGTGTATGCGCCAATCTAAGAAACATAGATTCAACACGATACTGTGAACCACGAGAAAGAACAGAAAAGAAATCAATGCCGAAGATGTGGGCAAGTTCAGATGTTCGATTTATCTGCAAAAGCACATATTGATACAATAAGAAACAGAAAGGGCAACAGATAATATTGATAAAAACTAAAATGGAAAAGAAAGGTTTTGCTGCTAGCTGCTTTCTTTTTTAAACCAATATTCCAAAGATTAGCCATATTAACTTTCCAAACAACATAAACAAAGATTTCATTAAAGAAAAATAAATATGAAAATTTGAAATCTTTTCATATGCCCCTGCAGTAAAATCTAGAGAGAAAAATGAATGATAAAGTCTCTTCCATATTACTTAAAATGAGAAAACATATAAGAAGGAATAATGAGTACAACTGAAACCAGTGGAAGTCAAAAGGGACAAGAACTCTCTAGCTTGCTATTAACAACCCTTTCTTTTTTTTTCTTTTTGGCTCAGCTATGTGAATATATTAATGACAAAAGGGAAGACACCAGGAGTGCATCCCAGAAAGTACGAAGGTCAATAATACATCCCAAACGGAACAAAAGTCAACAACCATTTTTTCATTCTAAACTAGGCTACCAAGGCCAAAAAAATAAAAAAATAAAAATAAAACTATCCTAACGTGGCATTCAATAGTTATTTATGGAGATTCCATCATCTCTCCCTGCCATTCACCTTATCCAACCATTTACAACCACCTCTCTCTGCACTCCAAATCACATGCACAGACAGATAAAACATCAACATCAACACAAACAGCCACAAACTAACAAAAAAAACTACAATAATGTTGAAAATATAAGTCAGTGACAAAGGACACAAACTTTAAACAAACAATTTGCAACATACCATGTCAAGTTGATCCATCATCTGAAGATTCAACTTCGCTCTTTCAATTACATATTCAATGCATCTATACCTTGCCCTTGCAGGACCACTTAAAAACCATTTCGTCAAAACTTTATAGGGGATGGATGGAACTTTTCTCCTCAAAACAGATTCAGCTACAGCTTCAATGCTGTACATATTTAGCTTGACTTCATTGCGCATTAGCCGCCAAACATTTGGGACAATTCTACCGCCAACGTGAACACCACTAGCATGAGTTCGGCCCCATTCATCCTCAATAACTACACTTTCCAGAACAGCAGATTCAGCAATTAGAGGGTCAGGCAACAAATCACCGTGTAATCCCTTCTCAGAAATTGCCAATTCTCCAGCAGCTATTTTAGTTTCATATGGTGTCCTTGATATATGATTTAGCAACCCAATGCCAAGATGTGCAGCTCTTTCAGCCAGAAAACCAAGAGAACCACCTTGTATATCCCAACCCATTAACATATCAGGATCAAATGAGCGTAAAATCTTTATGAAGTGTTCAAATAACTCCTTTTCCTCAGAGAAAACAAACAACTTGCACTCCAATGTTCCATCAA